TGGGATAGCTGGATCCCATATAGTTAACTCTTACTCTGAGTCTCAGTGGCTTGAAGATCATGCCAGGTGCATATACATGTGTGCTCAAAATCCCCAGAGGAATTTAGAGAAGGGATTGTGGCATGGCCATCCTCTCTGGGGGTGATTTCTCACTTTTCCTCTTTCAGGAGAACGCATGCACTCTATGGCAAACCAAACAAACAAAAAGATGCTAAATTTTGGGACGGCCTCATAGTCTAGTGGTGAAGGAAACCAGACTCACTATGGCCAACTGGGTTTGAATCCTGGCTTTGGTAGCCTGAAAAATACACAGGGCACAAATATGTGCCCAAAATCTTGACAGGATGGAGAAATAGAGAAGGGACTGCAATGTGATCTTGGGGGAAAAAGGGGTATTTTCACACTCTCTTTGTCTCCCTGACTCTGTTTGGCAATAAAGAAGAAAAGATGCTAAGTTTTAGGTAATTTATTATGCAATAGATAACTAAATGGATATTAACCAGATTATATAGAACTATTAAAATATTTTGAATCCTAGTTATCGTACAATGTTTTACTCTTTTCAGCTATACTTCATGGGTTTAGCTGCAAAGAACCATCAATAAAAGTGATTAATCATAGGACCAGCAGTTAGCGTAATGGCTATGTCGCTGAACTCCCATGTAGTCGACCACGGTTCGAGTCCTGGACCCGGTGACTTCAATTCATGCCGGGTGTGTGTGTGTGCATGCCCAAGATCCCGAGAGGAGAACGGAGAAGGGATTTCGGCGTGGCCATCCCCCCTGAGGGGTGATTTCCCGCTTTCTGTCTCTGACTCTCTGCATCTTTCTGGCGAGTGCACACGCCTTATAGCAAAAACCTCTCAAAAAAAAAAAAAAAGTGATTAATCACTCCCCTAACATACTTACATAACTGTACCTTATGGGCTTATAGGACACACACAGATGGCTCTGGCCAGCCATTACACTAAGCCAAACCAGGACCAGAATTGAAGAGTAGAGGTCATAAATCAATTTACAAGAAAAATAAACAACAAAAGGACAGCATCTGAGAAGACGGTTAAAAATACAGACTAAAGGGACTAGCAGATAGTGTAATCATTACGTTGTTGGGCTCGCCCTAGCTGACCATCTTTCGAGTCGCAGACCCAGTGGCTTAAAACTCATGCCAGGCACTTGTGGGTGCGTGCTCAAAATCCCAAGAGAAGGGACTGTAGCATGGCCATTCCCTCCCCCGGGAGGTGACTTCTTTTCAACTCTGATCTCACAGCCAACACTTAAACAGTTTCAAGAACAGAAATGGTTCTGGGACGGCAGGTAGCAAAGTTGTTAAGGCACTGGACTCCCAAGTGGCCAACCACAGTTCTAGTCTCAGACCTGGCTGCTTGGTTTCTTATTCCCTCCACCACCACCATTGGTCTCTCTCTGTCTGCGTCTCTCTGGTGAGCATGCATGCTCTGTCGCAAATTTAAAAATAATAATAATGATCTACCAGAAGACGGTGTAATGGTTACATTGCTGGACTCCCACATAGCTAAATTCAGTTCAAGTTCCAGACCTGGCAGCTTGAAACTCATGTCAGGCGAATGTGAGTGCATGCCCAAAGTTCTGAGAGGAGGATAGAGGACAAGGGATTGCAGCATGGCCACGTGGGGAATGCTTTCTCCTTGTCTCTCTATCTCTGTCTCTCCAGGGCATGCATGCACCCTATAGCAAAAATCTCTCTCAAAAATAGTAATAATGAAAAATAAAATGAAATAAATAATTCTTAAAAATAAAAAGAGACTGGTTTCAAAGCCTGGTGGGTAGGCAGTCAGATTCCACATGGCTGACCCCACAGCAAGTCCAAGACCTAGAGGCTTGGGGGACATTCTGGACACATGTGCATGTGCGCCCAAAATCTCAAAGGAGGAGAGAGATGGAAAAGAAGCAATTACGATGTGACCATTCCCAGTAGGAGGGGTGCTTTTTTCTCCTCTCTGTCTGTCTCTTTCTGATGAATGCACATGCCCTCTAGCAAAAATGAAAGAAAAACAAATATAAAATAATATTACTTTTGAGCTGTCCAAGTACACATCTCAGGAACATGAATCTTTCTGACTAAAATTTTAAAGATCCAACAGGTAACACATTTATGGAAAATCAAGCTTACCTGATCGCTCACAATAAGTAAAAGAGTAAGGGAGCAACTTGAAAATACGTTAAAACATCAGATGATAGAAAATACATTCTAAATCTCACCATTTTAAAAAACTTGGTTTATGAGGCCAGCAGGTGGCATGGGAGTTAACATGGCTGGATCCCACACAGCCAACTCCACAGTTCGAGACCAGGGCCAGAGACTTGAAAATTATGCAGAGCACAGTGCATGCATGCCTGCCCAAAATCCCAAAATGAGAATGGAGAAGGGATTAAGGGATTAATGGCCATTTTCCCTCTCTCTCTCTGTGTCTCTCTGGTGAGTGTATGCACATTATATAACAACAACAAAAAATCTTGGATTACGTCTGACCTCCCCAGAGATGAGAACTTGGGTGGGAACTGATTATAAATGTTTTAGACAAATATCTTCTCAAAAATAGTAATAATGAAAAATAAAATGAAATAAATAATTCTTAAAAATAAAAAGAGACTGGTTTCAAAGCCTGGTGGGTAGGCAGTCAGATTCCACATGGCTGACCCCACAGCAAGTCCAAGACCTAGAGGCTTGGGGGACATTCTGGACACATGTGCATGTGCGCCCAAAATCTCAAAGGAGGAGAGAGATGGAAAAGAAGCAATTACGATGTGACCATTCCCAGTAGGAGGGGTGCTTTTTTCTCCTCTCTGTCTGTCTCTTTCTGATGAATGCACATGCCCTCTAGCAAAAATGAAAGAAAAACAAATATAAAATAATATTACTTTTGAGCTGTCCAAGTACACATCTCAGGAACATGAATCTTTCTGACTAAAATTTTAAAGATCCAACAGGTAACACATTTATGGAAAATCAAGCTTACCTGATCGCTCACAATAAGTAAAAGAGTAAGGGAGCAACTTGAAAATACGTTAAAACATCAGATGATAGAAAATACATTCTAAATCTCACCATTTTAAAAAACTTGGTTTATGAGGCCAGCAGGTGGCATGGGAGTTAACATGGCTGGATCCCACACAGCCAACTCCACAGTTCGAGACCAGGGCCAGAGACTTGAAAATTATGCAGAGCACAGTGCATGCATGCCTGCCCAAAATCCCAAAATGAGAATGGAGAAGGGATTAAGGGATTAATGGCCATTTTCCCTCTCTCTCTCTGTGTCTCTCTGGTGAGTGTATGCACATTATATAACAACAACAAAAAATCTTGGATTACGTCTGACCTCCCCAGAGATGAGAACTTGGGTGGGAACTGATTATAAATGTTTTAGACAAATATCTGCTTCATACCATCTTACAATTCAGGTATATCACATGCCAATAATGAGAATACGGTTTAAAAGAACAGGTAAGAAATGCAAATAAGCATGTTATAAAATAAAAAGTGATTAGGGAATATTTTTTAGACAAAGTTGAAAGGTTAAGGACATTACCTCTACTTTCAAAGACTTACGGCAAAATCTTACAGCAAGAATAGATGGTCTGAAAGTACACCTTTTAAAAAGTTTTAAAGTTAATTTTATTTTCACAGTGACACTAACATCTTATTCTAGAAAGCTGTATCTGCTATTAAACCAATTAGAGCTTTATCATCTTGAGCCCTAAAGCCAAAAAATAGCTCCCATAAATCTATGGCTGCAGCCTTTATACAAAGAAGTTAATTATGAATTAAGGCAGATGTCATTTCAACTGCTATATCTATGTGGTAACTGATAATTACAATTACTATTTATTACTATCTCCCTTTTTTCAATGGTTGTGCTTTTAGAACTGAAGAAGAGATAACGTGTAGTGTGAAGACTAAGCCCATAGACTAAAGACTCCTCGTAATTCATGTCTCGGCTCAAATGTCACCATTCTATCTAATGCCGTTCCTTGTCTTCTTTCCTTTATAGGATTAACATTTTCTGAAATCATTTTATAACGTGCTGATTACTGTCTGCCTCCTTCGTCAGAATGAGAACGTGGACCTTACGCGTCACGTGCACAGCTACAACCCAAGCGCTTACACAGTGCCTGATCCATAACAAGTGTCCAAGAAACATTAATAATAAAACGAAGACGGACAGGATGCTCTCCACCCTCTCCTGCTCAAGCTCCTCACAAGTCCAGTTCCCACAGTTCTCTTATTACACTGAACTGGCTACACTCGGGATGCAACATGAACTTCAGTCCTACTCTAACCCCTGGCACAGATGGCACGCAGTGGCCGCTCGATGTCAGATCGCTGAATGAATGACACGGTGAGCGACGCACGTGCAGGTGATGCAATGGCATCCCCGCGGTGTCTGGCTACCTCAGCCCAGCTGGGCCGCTTCGATCCTCAGCCGACGCCGTGTAGACCCCGACCGGCGAAGGCCAAAACCTGCAGGGCAGCTTGGCCATTGCCACCATGCCCTTTTGCAGGGATTACTAGTCTCGGAGGAGAGACGCAGGGCCGAAAGTACCGAGCCCGCACTCACTGTAAGTCCGGCCC